AAATTGCCTTAAGTGCTTACAGGCCAGCCTTAATTCTTTTTTCTTTTCTTTTTTTTTTTTTTTTGAGACAGTTTTTTTGCTATAGGCTTCATGCGTGAACCAGAGAGACAGAAAGCAAGAAATCACCACCCCCTCCACCCCAGGGGGGATGGCCACTGCAGTACCTTCTCTTCTACTCTCCTCTCAGCATTTTGGGCACGCATGCATATGTGCCCAGCATGATTTTTTAAGCCATCGGGTCCAGAACTTGAACCGCGGTCGACTACATGGGAATCTAGCGATGTAACCACTGTGCCACCTGCTGGTCCCTACAGGCCAGCTTTAATTCTAAGTAGCTTACTTATAGCTATTAAGTCCACACAAAAACTTATGAAGAGAGGTGTTTCTAAAGGGATGGAAACGGAAGCCTGGAGTGACATGTAAGGTGCCTGAGGTCATCAGTTCACATGGCAGGGCCAATATTAGAACCTGACATCTGAAGCCTTCTCAAATACCACCTGACTTTGTGACAGTTTGACTTTTGCCTTGAGAGTTTCTACAAAAGGCACAAGTACCTGATAAAAAGTAATAAATGAACATGAAATAAAGAATTATCTGGCCCAGACACTGTGGCTAAGTGGCAACACCAGTGCCTTGCAATGCCAGAAGCCATCTGTTGACACGGTTCCAGTCCTAGGTTGGCCTGGAAAACATGCCAGGTTCGTGCGTAGGCGACCAGGATCCTGAGATCTAAAGGGCTAGGGAAAGGGGACTGCAGGAAGACAGGACTCTGGAGAGGGAGCTACTTTCTCTCTCCATGCCTGCACACATGCATTCTATTATATACTTTTTAAGAAAAAGAAAAAGAACTAACCCATTCTATCATGTAACAATGCAGTCGACAGTCTGCTGCACAGTAACTGAAAATGAGTTATGGAAACTTTGTAGCAACATAGAAAACACTTAGAAAATATTTTAAAGCAAGATATAAAAATGTGCACACAACAACACAACAAAATGTACACCTGATAACTGCAATATATAGAAGAGAAATATGAGGGAGAAAAACAAAAATGATGATCCAAAATATAAGTGATAATTGTGTCAAAAGTGCAAATAAGAAGAATATGACAAAGGCACATGAGCCCTAGAGCAAAAATCTAAAGAAAATAATAATAATAATAAATAAAGAATATGACAAAGGGTACAAGACAATCCAGTGGGAAAGAAAGTCTCTTCAGCAATGTGATTGAAGAACTAGATATCCAGCTGCAGAAAATCAAACTAGACCCCCCATCTCTATTAACAAAAGTCAATTCAAAATGGATCAAAGGTTGTAACATAAAGCCTTAAACTATAAAAATACTGGTAGAAAATACTAGGGAGACACTTGAAGATATTGGAGTAAACAAAGATTTTTTTAAACAAGTCCCCTAAGGCACAGGCAATAATCCCCAAAATAGATAACTGGGACTATATCAGGCTAAAAAACTTCTGCACAGCAAAGGAAACAATAATTAGAGTGAAGAGACAAGCCTCAGAATGGGAGAGAATATTTGCAAAAACTATGCTTCAGATAAAAGACTGATACCCAGAATATACAGCAAACTCAGGCAGCTTTAAACGACATAAAACAAACGATCCAATTAAAAAGTGGGCAAACGAGTTAAACAGCTTTCCAAGGAAGACATACATATGGACAAAAAAAAAAAAAAAAAAAAAAAACATAAGAAAAAATGTTCTACATTTCCTATCATAAGGAAAATGCAAATCAAAGCCATAATAAAGTACAATTTAACCCCAATCAGAATAGCTATAATAAAAAAATAAATAAACAAGTGGCTGGGAGGTTGTCCTGAAAGGGGAACTCTTCAACAATAGCTGATAGGAATGTAAATTAGTACAGCCACTATGGAGAACAATATGGAGGTTCTTCAAAGACTTACAAATAGAACTCCCATACAACCCAGTAATTCTATTTCTGGGTAATTACCCCAAAGATAGGAAAACACTCCATTGGAAAGACACTTGCACATCCATGATTACTGCATCATTATTCATTGTTGTAAAGACATGAAATCAACCTAAGTGCAAAGAATGGATGACTAGGTTGAAAAAATGTGGCACATGTACACGACAGAATACTCAGCCATAGAAAAACAATGAGATCCTGTCATCTGATACAAAGTGGATGAATACAGATTTAATGCTAAGCAAAGCAAGCTAGACTATGAAAAGACAGACTTTGTATGTCCCCGCTCCGTACATACCAAATGTCTGTACTTTATGGAAGAAACTGAAAGAACGGAAAATATAATAGTAGAAACAGCAAGTACAGATACCAAAGACTATATAAGCGGAGGTGGACAGTTGGGGGTAAGAGGGAGGACTCAGGGGGAAAAAAAAGAACATTTAACAGACACAGAATGTAAAGTTATTGTGTACTGTAATATCCTTGACTTGCTTGACACGCAATGAATTTATGTTTTGAGAACCCATATCGTATGCTGTAAAAACATACAATGATTAAATGTAAATAAAATAAAATGAAAATAAAAAGAAGATAGAATATGGGGAAATTCCTGCCTCCTCATTATGTTCAAGGGCATTTATAAGTTGACAGCTTCATTGATAAATGGGTGAAACTATAATTAAAACATTAAAGCATTGTCAAAACAGTACCAAGCCATTATCTCCACTTTTTTTTTAAAAGAGAGATTTTCACAATAGGGCAACATGCACTTTCTGGAGACACAGAGAAAGACAGAGAGAAAGAGAGAAATCACCCCCCCAGGGGGATGCCCATACCACAATCCTTCTCCTCCATTCTCCTCTCAGGATTTTGAGCAAGCATGCACACATGCCTGGCCTGAGTTTTAAACCACCAGGTCTGGGACTCAAATCAAGGTCAACTACATGGGAGTCCAGTAACATTAACTATTAGGTCATCTGATGGTCCCCACTGTTTCCACTTTTAAATAGTCACAAGAGTCAATCAGCTAGAAAGTCATGCTAAGTACCATTTTAGGTAATATTGTCACAATTTTAGAGCTACAGCATTATCATTTTTTCAGTATTCCACTGAATTTTTATTTTACTTTTTACATTTATTCACTGTGTCATTACAGCATACCAAAATGAATTTTCCCATGATAAATACACTGCATATCGGTTCAAATACATTACCATGTATGTCGTAAACAACATATTTCTTTCCATTTGAGTTCCACAGATGTTTTGCTTCTTTCTTTTTGTCCCTTGATTCCTTCCCTTTCACACTCTGCCATTTTCCACTCTCCTCCCCCACTGCCTCCAGTATCATCATTGCTCTCTGTGATTTCAAACCTTCAATCATTCAGTTTCTGCCATAGTGGACAAAGAGTGGAACATATACACTACAGAATACTTCTCAGGCAGAAAAAAAACACAATGAGATCCTGGCATTTGATAGAAAGTGGCCAAATATGGAAGATTTACTGCTAAGCAAAGCAAGTCAGACTATGAAAGAGAGGCACTGAATGTCCCCACTCAATATATACAGCATTATCATTTTTAAATCATGGTCTTCCATGCTCTGGGCTGTCAGTCAGAAAGAAGCCATGTGCCCAGAGATGGAACCATGTTCTCTGCACTGCCAAGACAGCACACACTAGCCTTCTCAGCATCTCTAAACCAGCCAGGATCTTGCTGCAGATTCCCCAGAAGAAACTTTTTGGGTGCAATATTAACAGACACGTAGACTCTGAACCTACAGACTAATGCAGACCTTTGCAGCTTAGTTACCCTCATGGTTCCTGCCCTCCTGTCCTCCTGCCTCCTGAGTCTGAGTGGACGTTGGACTTGTATGCTAGAGTGTGGCCCAGCTGACACTGTGAGAACCCACACCACGTTCGCAAGGCTGATGGGGAGTTCGCAGATGGCTTATCATGGAAGTGTTGGTTAATGTCCTCCTCCTCCTCCAGTGGCTTGCACATGAACAACACCCCCGGCACGGTCTTATAGCAGTGACGTCACACTGGTGAGGTGACAATAGAAAACTGCGGCCCCTCCCTTCATGGGGTCTTTCCTTATTGAACTGTTGGACAAATAAGGTCCGTGACCATGCCTGAGCTGCCAACGGAGGAAGGAAGCAGAAAACGAAACTGCCCTGAGGTCGGCCCCAGGCTCCTGGACAAGCTGTGTGGTTTGGTGGTGGGATACTGATGTTAGGCTAGCTTTTATTATCATTATCATGAAGCCTGAAAGTACCCTTTAAAATAGGAAGTTCTCCATTCTTTCACAGCCTCCCCCTCTGATTCAATTTCTGATTGATGTTTTGGATGTCATAGTCAAAAATCACGTTAACGCCGTTGCACTGCCACTGTTACCAGTACTGAGAGGCGGGGTTTTTCAGAGGTGATCAGGTCGTGAGAGCACTGCCCTCGCTAGCAGACTGAGGCTATTCCTTGAGAGTTTGTTATATTAGGAGGAGCTTGGCCTGACCTCCTCTGTCCTGCGCGCTCACTTGCCGTCTGCCATGTTATGATGCAGTAAGAAGGCCCTCCCCAGCTGCCCTCCCCAGCAGAGGCTGGCACCATGCCCTTGGACTTGCCGGCCTCCAGAACTGTAAGAAATACATTCCTTCTCTTCAGAAATCAGTGAGTCTGTGGTATTGTGCCATAGCAACCAAAGACAGACTGAGAACAAGGTCAAAGTGAACCTCAGTGTGAGTTAGTATGCTGACAACATGTTAAACTCAGGCATTACAGGCAGCACCTGTGGAATGCAAGAGGCTCACCCAGCACACTCCCACGCTGGGGCAGTAGGAGGTGGTGCTGGGGGTAAGAACACAGGGGGAGACTCAAAGCTCAGGTCTCCTCAGTATCAACAACAGAACCTCATTATCCACCCTGAAAAGCTCTCACCCACCCTACTTTCCAGCCACCAGCCATTTACCGATCACGAACTTGTTGAGTCCTTGGTAACAGGCTAAAGGCACCACAATACACTAGGGTCACCTCTACTGAAGTAAACGCTATTACCTTCAGGTGTGGGAGGAGGCAGCTCTCGCTGGTCCATGCTTCAGCTTTTAAAGCCTCCTTAGCTTTGACAAGGAAATAGGAGCCCTGCAAGAATGAGAAACATTGCTTGTCATGTTCCAGGTGGGTCAATGTTCATGCAACCTGCACAGGGCTCTCTGTGAGGAACTGGATACAAAGGAAAAGCTTCACTGTTATTAATAGCTACAACTAAAGAACTTAACATCTATTAGTCACAAAACTTCTGCATCTCCCTTGAAATAACATTCAAGAGCAAAACACAGCAAAGAGTTCTTAGCAAGGGCTGACTTCACCTTGAACTGTAGCAGGAGTTGATTCTGCAACTTGGGGAGGAATCAACACATAGATTGAATTATTTTTTCTTACTCTCCTTTCAACTAAAACTTTAACAGTGTTGAATAAAGACCTGCTCAACATTTCAAGATGAGGAACAGAGTGGACCATTTTCTCAACTCCTTTTGAGTAAGCATGAAACTAATCTCAGATCTAGGCTGCATCTCTACAGGTCTGTTGTGTGTGTGTGTGTGTGTGTGTGTGTGTGTTTCTACACATTTTGTTTTCTTACATATTATGACAAGAAGACTGAGGCTGAGAGTAAGTGAGATACCAGTGAAGCCACAGAAGTCCCATTCCCTGTTCTCAAAGAGACCATCCTGTTAACTAAGCTACATTTGGCTTCTACTGAAGCCACCAGACCCTTGCCTGGCATCCACCAGAAGGCCCAGGTGAAAAGTAAACCATGCTCAGGGACCTTTCCTGGCTGCCTCTGTTCCAGTGCCATGAACCAGGCCCTCCAGCGATGAGGAAAGGCACAAAGTGGATGACAATGGCCCGTGAGCCACCCGGAGCCCGGCACCTCCTCCACTCCTCAGCCTGCCCATGCCCCAGCTGACCACTGGGCTCATGTGCTCTTTAAGGACGAGATGGGAAAAGCCAGCCAGGAGCTCCTGGAGGGCAAGTCCTCTACTGTCCACAGCACACCTGGGATGCCAGCTGGCCAGCAAGTGTTTTTAACCTCATCAACAGAATGGATTGCTTGTCCTGGCACTTTCAGAGGAAAGCAAACAAAGAGTGCTCTCTAATTAAGATGACCTGGTAACTCATGTGTTGAGTCCTTCCCTTGGCCGGGACTCAGAGGGCTCTTGCCTGCCAGCTGTGGGTCACCTGGCTTTCCATTGCTTTCTCTGTCCAGAGGACTCAGCCCTCTTCCGTTCCTCTCAGTCTCGTCAGTACGAAGAGCTGCTCAGACGCCTAGGCCAGAGGCTGGTGTCCCCTCCCTTGATCACCTGACCCTCCTCGCTCAGTATCCAGAAGTCTCAGTCCCTAAGTTTATTATTATTATTATTAGCTTTTTCTTTAGAGGTTTTTTGCGATAGGGCACGTGCAGTCGCCAGACAGAGAGAGACAGAGAGATAGAAAATGAGAAATCACCCCCCAGAGGGGATGGCCACACCGCAATTCCTTCTCCTCCATTCTCCTCTCGGTATCTTGGGCACACACACACATGCGCCCGGCGTGAGTTTTAAGCCACCAGGTCCGGGACGCGAACCACGGTCGACTACGTGGGAATCCAGTGACAAAGCCATTACGCTAACTGCTGGTCCCAAACCAATAATTCTTAAAAGAAAAAAAGAAAAGGGCAAAAAGCCAGGATTGGCCCCATAGTGCAGAGGTGAAGTGCTGTGCTTTGGGAGCCAGGTCCCACGTGGCTGGCTGTGGTCTGACTCCCGGCCCTGGTAGCTTGAGAAACAGGCTGGGTACATGTACAAAGCACAGCATACCCCAAATCCTGACAGGATAGAGGAAAAAGGACTTTTGGCTTAACCACACTCCAGTCGGGGGAGTGCCTTCCCTCTCTCTTTCTCTGGAGAGTTCACGTCTTTTAGCAATTAAAAAAAAAAAAAAGGCAAAAAACTGGGGGCATCCTTCTCCCCTAGCTGCAAGG